GATTGAGTCCTGCATCGCATAGGGCTCCTTGTTCAGTGGGGAGCCTGCTTCTCCCTCTCCCTCTGCTGCTTCCCCCTGCTTATGCGCTCTCTCCCTCTCTCTGACAAATGAATAAATAAAAATTGAAAAAAAACACCTAGTTATTATGGAATTTGTCAAAGTCATTGTGGTTAGATTTTCAGGGAACTTTCCTTTCAAATATGGGTCTCTAATTTGAGAACTTTGACCCAATGCCAGATTGATAGTACATTTGCAATGAATTCTGGACTCTTAATATTCTAAGATAATCAAATTCTCGTGTTTTACCATTCCTTGTTTCATACTTAGATCTCTCTGACGGCACTGAGAAAGGTGGTGTGTGCCCTTGGGTGTTTTGTGGTCCAAAGAGCAAACTTCTCTGAATTCTAATTGGCTGCTACGGGTCCGGGTCTGTTTGATCTGTTCACAACTGCCCAGTTTCAGCCGCATTTTCTTTTCAGAGGACTGCTGAAAGTAAAAGGTACAACCCTAGTCACCTGTTGCTATCACTCTGAAGGCAGAGGATGAAATGTTTCCCCAGGAACACCATGCACACAGGGGAAGAGGAGGTCCCGGATGTGGGCTGGCCAACTTAATAAAGCACTACCACGAAGACTTCTGCCTCAGGCTCTGCTTTATGGAAACCTTTAGATAAAGCAGGACTCTTATCTTATAATTTTTCTGTTCTAGCAGAGAAACCATTACCCCACATTGGCATTTCTGGACCTCCATCTCTCGGATGGCTCACAGCCCGTCAGTTTCTGGAATTCTCTAGCGATATCTCAGAAGAACTCTCAAATAAGGAATCATGTTCACAGAGTGGGATCATTCATCATTCCTCTTCTTCTGCCCTGGCTTCTTTGCCCAGGAAACCTCAGGCACTGCTGCCCTTACTGTTTCCTGATGGCTTCCCAAAGTCAACGGTCACACTGCGTCTCAGTGTTCTAAGACTGATCTGAAGAAAGAACATCTTTCCTGCCCTCATCAACCTGTGACCATCCCCTCCAATACTCTGTCCTCTACTTCCTATCTTGATGCTCCCAATGGAAGGCTGTCTTGTACTCCAAATCTCAACTTCATGTGGACAATTTAATGTGATACCCTCTCTCGCCTTTTCAGTTCGCTCCAGGAAAGCATAGCTATGAGAGTGTCAACAGAGAAAAGGAGGCGAAACTGAAAAACAAAGGCCTTTTTTCTTAGAGTTTCGGAATTGCAGTTCCGGAGGGAGCACAGATTCCAGTGTAACCAGGAAAGTGTCGCACCTGAGCTGAGAGAGCAGAGATTTTATGAGAGGAAGAAGGTGGGGGGAGGGGCAGTCACATGACTCGAATTAGGGAGGAGGAGGAAAAAAGTCTTGACTGGTACTAACAGATTGAGCCATCTGTGTTTACACGTTGATCAAATATATCGGTGTTGTCTGATGAGACCACTCTTGGTATGCACTAATTAACTGCTCTCAGAAAGTCGGACTGGCAGTTTTATGGCCTGGCCGCCAACTGTCCTGCTGGTTTTACCAGCAACTGCTTGCAAAACAATCACCTTGACTGGCCCAGTTTAAAAGTTACTTTTGTCCAGTTCAAAAGTTCACTGGAAAGGAAAATGGAGCTTCGAAGCAGAGTTGCTCCTGTTCAGAAATTGTATACAGTCTCACAAGAGCAAGCCAGAGGACCAATGGTTAATGCAGAGCCAGACCCTCCTCTTGCTCTTCTGGTCATTCATGTCTTCCCTCCAGTTGTGTGACAAATATATTTGGGTTCACTTTGAAGCTTTCCAGTAGTAGCAGTCTGGAGAAAAAGACTTAAATCTCCTTTGGTTTAACTTAGGAACATTAACAGTAGTTGCATTTATTGACCATTAGTTAGTGTTGGTACCATTTTGGTTCCTCCCACAATCTCGAACTCCCCTTCTGCAATAAGTGTGTTTTGTTAGCCTAATAAAAAGTGCTTTGAACACTGAAATTCAGGTCTCTTGCGGAAGGCTGCATAATGGTTCCCCAACAATGTCCACATCCTCATCCCCAGAACCTATGCAATTTGTATTGTAACACAATACTTTTACCTTCATTGTAAAATAAACTTTGTTGATATGACTACATTCAGGATCTTGCAATGTGAAGATTATTCTGGATTTTCCTGGGTGGGTCTGATATAATCACAAAGATTCTTATAAAAGGGATGCAGGAGAAGTCAGAATCAGACAGAAGGGGAGGTGACAGAGCAGAAGGACAGGAAGAAAGAGATTGAGAAGACTATGCCGATTGCCAGGAAGTTGCGGGAAGATGGCCACGAGCTGTGAAAGGTTGATGGCCTCTGGAAGTTGGAAAGATCAAGGCCATGGAGTCTCTCCTGGGGTTTTCAGAAGGAACCAGCCCTGAGGCCACCTTGACTTTAGTCCAGTAGAATTAACTTCTGTCTTCTGACCTCCAGAACTGTAAGAGAATAAGTTTGTGTTGCCTTAAGCTACTAAAGTTGTGATAATTTGCTGCAACAGCAACAGAACACTGGTGCGCTGCTTCCCCCCTTCGGTCAGATTGCTCCCCCTCTTCTCCAGAAATTCAGGGGCCACCAGCAGCTCTTCGGCACGGCTTAGCAATTTACTCAAATTATAATGCTCCATTCTAGTAACAGCTACATAGAGGAGATTCTCTTCTTGTTCCCCTTTTATGAAAGGAGCAATGAGGTTTCGATGAATCAAGATTTGACCTCGAGCCACACAGAAAGTGTTAGGACTGGAAAGCCACTGTCAGACCTGTCTCATTCTTCACAACCTGTGCTCTCAATCAACGTATGAACCAGCTGAAGCTTCTGCATCTTTCTTTTCAGTCACCAGGTTAACAAGGTCTATGTGGAGCTTTTCATATTCGTATTTTAAAATTTTATCCTGGGGGTGCCTGGGTGGCTCAGTTGGTTAGGTATCTGCCTTCGGCTCAGGTCATGATCCCAGGGTCCTGGGATGGAGCCCCACATCAGGTTCCTTGCTCAGCGGGAAGCCTGCTTTTCTCTCTGCCTGCCCCCCACCCCCACCCCGCTGCTTGTGCTGCCTCTCTCTCTCTCTAACAAACAAATAAATAAAATCTTAAAAAAAAAAGTAAAATAAAATTTTATCCTGAATGCACACGGAGATGTTCTGCATCAGACAGACTTCTTATTAATGACCTCCCAGTGAGTGTCACTTCCTGCTTGCCTCAGGCCTTACCCCTGGGGTAATGTGATGAAAAGCAGATCAGCTGTCCCACTCCAAAAAGGGGGGCTGCGGGAAACACAATGGTCTCTGCTTATAAAGGGGAAGGAGGACTTTGATCCATTGCCCTCCTGAAAGAGTCTCCTTGGTAATTTGCTAACACTAAATCCCAACTCTAACCCCGTGTTATATAAGTAAATCTTTCCAAGAGCCAAATTACCCCTGGTCTCCACTGGTAGGACGTATGGGTGTCTCTTAAATTCTGTGGCTTTATCTATTTTGCCATGTGAATACCTGGAGAGCTAGCATTCCAGTCTCCCCACCACCCTGAGGCTTAACCTGACACCTGTGCCCGGATGTAAGCATTGGGTCCCCTTTCAGGAGATTAGAAAAATTCTATCATCTCTTAGGATCAGAGCAATTAACTAGACAAATGACAGATTTAATACTCATGGTATGTGAAGAGGCGAGGACTTCCACAAGAACACTGAGAAACCCAAAGAAGTTTTATTTCCCGTAGCCTAAAATATATTGCCCTTGACTTGGGGTTAAGGAAGGACTCAGTGCTGGCATTTCTGGATCTTCCAGAATGGTTTGCATGTGTTCACCTCAATACAATTTAAAGAGTGCTGTTCCGTCTTATCTCCTTCATTCTGAGCAAGTACCATTAGAGTTATGAAGAGACTAGTATACTTAATTTTCAGGGGAGGACGTAGAGGCTCCGAGTAGCTGTTTCTTGTCTGCAGTTACCCAGCAACTTAAGACAAATGTGGGCATGTGCCTCCCTCTTCCTCCTGCTGAAGGCTATAAACGTGCCCAGGAATGGGTCCTGAATCGGAGACAGGCACACATCCTACCTGGCTTTCCCCACAGGTGCCCAAACTCTCCTGCCTTTCAGATCTGAAAAACAAACTGAGGGTTCTAGAGGGGAGGGGGGTGGGAGGATGGGTTAGCCTGGTGATGGGTATTAAAGAGGGCACGTTCTGCATGGAGCACTGGGTGTTATGCACAAACAATGGATCATGGAACACTACATCAAAACTAATGATGTAATGTATGGTAATTAACATAACAATAATTTTTTTTTTTTTTTTAAAGAATACATTCTCTTCAGGTGGCTCAGATCTTTCCATCATCAGATGAGAGCCTTTGTTTCTATTGTGGAAGCTGGATGTATTCCCACTGTCCCGGGGCCATTTAAATTCAAATTTGCAGGTTTAGAAACATTTGAACCATCACCATACTTGTGAAGCATTGAAACAACATTACACTTGGTGACTGTTATTGCTCCATGGAGATTAGAAAATAAAGACCTTCTCATTTAGACCTTTAGGCAGATGAAACACTCAGCCAACTCACTTTTTCTGCTTTTTTCCCTCGTTACACAAATTGTTTGAGTTCTAAGGAAGAACGCAATTTACAGTTTAGCTCCCAGATTTATTGAGAGGGAAAAGAATGTATAATTGAAAAACCATTTCATAAGATAATTTAAATGAGAGCTCTTTTAAAAATATGTATAAACATTTGCAAAATTTTAAAGAGCTCCAATTGAATAATAGTTGGTTATACTGAAACAAAATGAGTATTTTATGTGAAACAGAGATTCTCAGGGTGGGGGGCTGTAAGGACTTGGAGGAGCATCAGATATGCCTTCGTGAACAGGAGTGGAACTAAGGAATGGCCGCTAGCCACAGTCTCTAAGTGGATGTGACCTCTAGTCCCTTAGAAACTTACAGTGCTTGGGTATCCAAGAGGAACAACAGATCAAGAAGGAAGCACACACACACACAAACTAAGCAAGGAACTTTTGTAAATAGCTTTATTTTCATGCTATTTGTAAAAATACATCGATAAATATTTAAACTTCTCTATTCCAAGACATAGAGAAACACCACATAATTAACACTAAACAAGGCATTATGCCTTACAAGGAAGACATAAAATGTCCAAGGGATATTTAAAACACTGGAGTTTTTCTAAAGCTTCAACATCAGAAATGTTGACCACATACTGTGGAACTCTCTCAATAAATAACAACCAGCATTCTTCTCAACAGTACAAAAACAGAGGTGCACATACATCCCACGACCTTAACAGGGATGTATTTGCTTGGATCCCCCACTATTTATCGCCAGCCTTCATCATGGTGAATGATATGGCATGGTTTCCCCCACCATCCCCCCAAGAAATAATAATTTAATGAATGAAGAATATTTAAGACTCATCATCTACAAATTAAATAATAGAACTGAACCAACTTTGATGGAACATAAAAATGACCTTTTAAGATAATATAGTACAGCAAATTACCAAATTCATATCTTTAAATATTAGCTAGGACATTAATGTGCTAGCTTTGAGAAAATAAATAAATAAATAAATAAGTTAAAAAAAATAGAAGAATACTCCTAGGCAAGAGTCAAATACATTAAACACAGTCCAGGGGGTTTCAGGAGGTTTTTGTTTCTCTTCTTCTGCTCCCACTTCACTAAGGCTGCAACAGTAAGTCACAGGCTTCTGCCTTCTCTCTAGCTCAGTTCGTGCTGCCCCTGTGAGGAGAAAATGGTTGCTATTAATAGGATTCCATAAACTGATGGCATAGCCCCGTGCCATGTGGTCACTACCTACATCACTGCCCGATGAGGCAGAAAATGCCAGCCTCCTGGATGCTAATTAGGAATAAGGGACCTGTGATCCCAACTGTACTATTAGCTTCAAAGAGCCAGAATGTAATGTCACAGTAGACTAAAAAGTTACATTCGGGACTTCACTTAAACCTCATGGCAAACACCTTGAAGTAGCTACTTCTATTTTTCTATACTATTGAGACTTAAAGAGATTCAGTACTTTCCCTGGGGTTACAGGAATAATAAAATGTGGAGCCTAGATTACACTTAGGGCAGGGATTCACGGCAAAGTCCCTGATTTTCAGTCCTTCAGCTAAACCCTGGGTTTCCTTGGTAAAAATGTCCGGAGGCATTTGTCAGGATGTGTGACCAATGACTCTAGTCCCACGTGTGGACAAAAAGCACAACTCACTTGTTTAGCATCTTGTTGATGATTTTCTTGACCATGGGGGCTTCGGGGTTGAGACAAACCTCCTGCCCATTCTTGAGAGTGGCTCTGCAGGGAGAAGGCAGAATCCGCGTTGGCCGGAGGTGGGGCTGGGCGGGGGGCCGGGGGGCATCGGGGCGGTGGGGGCCACAAGGACGCGAGCAGCCGCAGCGGTGTGGGGTGTCACTTACATGACTTCGGTTTGGGCGCAGTGGGGTCCCCGGGGCGTCACCTTGACGTTCTGGATGTTCTTGAGGTGAATTCCCTGCAAGGTCTGCAAGCACTGGCAGCGCAGCTCGGCGACCACGGGCGCACCTGCGGGGAGAACAGAGCGGGTTAGCGGACGACCCCAGGGTGGGCGCCCAGAGCACCCCCCCCCGCCCCCGTCCCGCCCGTGGGCTGGGGGCGCCGAGTCGCACCTGCGGCGCGGCGGCCGGCGGGGACCAGCAGCAGGAGCAGCAGCGCGGCGCCGAGGAGCCGGAGAGCGCGGGGTGCGGCGGCGGTGGCGGCGCGGGCCATGGGGCTCAGCTCGGAGAGTCGGGGCGGCGGGGCCTGGAGCGGGCGAGCTGGAGCGCGAGCTGGCGGAGCGGAGTCTGTGGCTCCCGGAGCCGGGAGAACCGCTTTTATCCCCGGTGGGCGCGGGGAAGTGAGCAGCCCCGGGGCCGGGGGAATTCCCGGCACCGCACGTCGCTTCGGGGTCGGAAAGGACAGCGCGGCCCCGCCCCCGCGGTGAAGGGGGACCCGCCCGGCCACCCGCATGTCCCTGCGAGTCGGGGACCTTCTCCTTCCTGCGGAGTCCCCATAGGAGGCGCGAGGGGCCTTGCTTGGGTATGTGCCACTTACTGGAGACAGGATCCTTGAACGTTAGTTATCCGGATTGGGGGAATAAGGCCAGGGCGGAGGAGGTGACATGCTTTTCTCTTTGTTACTTAACGCATAGATGTCTTCTGGTTTGATGATTTTTGCGTATGCCTGCATTAAGTAGACTCTGTGTTAAAATAGCTTTGTCATCTCACACTAGACATAAGAATGTTCTCCTTGTTCCTGGTATTTTACAATCACAAATAAATCATACTTTGTGTCATATCCTGGAGGGGTGAGGGCACGAACAGTGTCAAGCGTTTAATTCAGTGTTTAATTTAAGATAAAGTGTCTTAACCCTACATACCTTCCTTCCTCTATGCAATTTTGGAACTTCCAGAGCCGGAGTAAATCCATGAATATCACCTTTTTGGTCTAGAGGGCGTGGATTAATACGTGAAGTAAGGCGCGGGTGGTCACGTCAGAGCTGTTGTGGGGAGGAAAAGCTGCGTTGGGCTCACGGGGTCCACAGTTTCTAGTTTTGTCCAAACACAAAAGGGTCAGAGGAACCAGGAGCTGATGCCTAGTGTGAGTAGCACCCTTTGCTTGCCGAAACAGCAAAAAAGAGGTGTTCCTGTGGAACATTTAAGTGCTAGATCACGAATCCAATCGCACTTCCTTGTTTTATGTTCACAAATCTCATTTCATTTCCATGTTATGTGGACTTTCCTGTCTCCAGTGATCCTGATATCTTCTCTAGAGAAATAACTGCAGTCATATTTTGTTTTTTACTGATATCTATATAAGACATGTCAAGCTGTTAACGCTAGCCTTTGTCATTCAGGAGCTCATTTTTCACCCTTAGTTTTAATGTTGTTTTTTTGTTTTGTGTCTTGTGTTTTGTTTTTGTTTTGTTTTGTTTTGTTTTGGATTACGTGTAGGTTTCAGATGACTTGCGTGTGATTCTGGATGAAGGTCTGTGAGTAGAGTGGGAGTTACCCAGAAAATCGGTGTGTAGAAGAAAGGGGGGGGGCAGGGAGGAGTTGCTGTAGAGATGCACAGAGGCACAGAGCATCACTCTGCTCCACACAGACAGGGTAGGAATTTCGGTTCTCGCCATGACAGGTATCAGACATTTAACCCGTCTTTGCCTTAGTTTCTCACCTGTCAAATGGAGATTAAAGGTATTATCTACCTCAACAGGTTGGGATGATGAATAAATGTGTTAACATTTATAAAACACCAGTACATACAATATGCTCTAAATCATTTTTAAATAAAATAGAAATTGCTTTTTCCACATTGCCAAACTGAAACTCACCTGGGGAAAAAAATTTAAAAAAGAAAACACCTCCTTCAACCAATATAAAATTTTGTGCTATTTTTTTTTTTCTTAAGCGAAAACTCAGAATGAATTTTTTGTTGGCTAGTTTAATTGTTCAGTAATTTTATAATTCTAATTTCAGGAATTTCAACTACAAAATGAGACTAAAACTAAAGATGATCCATCTTATTAGAAAAGATTATGAATGACTAAATTATAAATAAAGATTTGTCTTTACACTTTTTTCAGTAATCATCAGTACAATCCTGCAAAAAAACCCAAGAAATCTAAAATTTTTTAAAAGAAGTAGGAAATGAAAGATGACCTAGAGTTTATAAAATATTAGTAACTTAGCAATAATTGAGAATTTGTGTAGATACTACTGTTGTTATCCTTATTTTTCTGGGATTCTCAATTAAAAATACTGTGGAGTTTTTTTCTGAGATAATCAGTAGCTCAGAATTATAATAGCTGTTCTTTAAACGTTAAAAATATGGTCTTATTTTTCTGATTTTCATTGTGTATCTGCTTATTATAGAAAAGTTATGAAGGACAGAAAACATGAAGAGATTATGAAGACTTTTTGACTTTTATCCAAGAAACAATCTATAGCAGATCTTCCCATTATTTTTCAACATCCCTAGTTATTTACATGTGTTTATGTGCTTAAATGATTGCTTAGTAAACATAAAGTATTATAATATAGCACTTTAATAGTCATTGTTCTAAACCTTTTGTATATATAAAACCCACTTAATCTTCTCAACTTTGTCTCCACAGCTTTGCTTCACAAGGAAACAAAGGGGCAGGGAATTTAGGTAATTTGCCAAGGCCTCAAAGCTAATAAAATTCACAATTTGAGCTCTAGCCAGTGTTGCTTTAGCCACCGCAAGTTAAAAAAAATTTTTTTTCCTAAGACAAGTAATAGATAGTTTCAGGAGAGCAGGTTTGTTTTGTTTTAGTTGGTTTAAGTATTTTGCTATTCTCATGGCTAAATAGTTAAACTTCACCTTTCTTAAAGCTTAAAAATAGCAAACTGCTGAAAAGTCTCCAGTGTCTTATTTCACTAACAGCAAGAAGTTTCTTTTGTCTAATGAATAAGATATACTTAAATTCAATAAAACCTACATTTATCTATTTCTCTGATTCTCCATATCAATGGACTTACACTTCCAAAATCAGGTCAGTGGGATGAACACTCTACTCAGAGTTTCCCAGAAGGGAACTGGGCATTTTAGCTCTTATTTGCTGAAATAAAGATCACAGTTTTCTGCTTGACCCAGTTTGGGTACTTTATCATATTTTAATAATGGAACTATTTTGCTTTCAGCATTAAGAAGACTCTACCCAGAACGTTACTCTCTTTATAAGTTAAAAAAAAAAAAACAGAAAAATATTGTTCTAATGCTTTCCAGATCCAAACCAAAGTATTCGCATAAATAATAAAAAAAAAATCCAATTCTTTGTTTTTCCAAGCATCTTCCCCACTTAATTACTCATTTTATGAGCTGAATGACAGATTTCTATGCCCAAACTTTAAACGAATGCAATCACCAATCTTAAAAGAATAGAGCATCCCTAAAATAAAAACATCGGTGACTAAGTCCCAATTTGAGCTACCATATTTCCTGCATCTTGCAGATTGGATCGACACCATCTAATCTGCCTTTACAATCCAGGCTTGGTGCTGCCTTCCAGAGATGATGGAGCCACAGGAATGGGCTCTGTTGTTCCCACTCTGGTCTTGGGAAATTGTGACGTCACAACTGCCACCCCTATTTTGTTGCAATGCCTGCTTCAGGTAGAATGACTCTGGTTCTGAGGGGAGAAGAATGGAGATGTCTGAATGTGACATTAAATCCATCGATCCACCCACTTCCTCAATCCAGAGCATTTTGTCCGGTGTTAATGTCATAAACCTGATCCAGTTTCTAGTACATTGGTCATTTCTACCTGGCGTGAGCTTCCTCCTTTTTCTGGTTACAGAACCGTGGTTTTCTTTTGGGGATCTTCCTTTCTTCCTTCCAATCTGGGTAGTTCAGGTAGGGTGACCCTGCTCCAAAGCTCCAGGACTGGGCTGATGACCCAAAGTAGTATTGGTCAGTCCTTCCAGTCTGGGTCTAACCCCCCAGCCCAGTTCTGATAGGTACAGGAGTGGGCAAGTGACCTAAGCCTGGCCAAGTCAGAAAAATTTCCTGGAGTCTCTTTTGTCAGGAAATGGTTGGAAAAACAAGCCTTTGCTTCCTGCGGGGGGTTATAACTACTAGAACAGAAACTTGAAAGCTTGTCATTGTTTGAGGAGAGCTTTGTAAAGTGAGCACAGAGAAAAGCAGCCTGAGCTGAAGTGAGACTAATTACTAAACAGAATTTTTGAACTGCAGCTTGTCAGTCTTTTACTTTTTTTTTTTAAAGATTTTATTTATTTATTTGACAGAGAGAGACACAGCGAGAGAGGGAACACAAGCAGGGGGAGTGGGAGAGGGAGAAGCAGGCTTCCCGCTGAGCAGGGAGCCCGATGCGGGGCTCGATCCCAGGAGCCTGGGATCATGACCTGAGCCGAAGGCAGACGCCTAACGACTGAGCCACCCAGGTGCCCCTCAGTTTTTTACTTTTACAGGTCAAATGATTCGCCTTCTCATGAAGCCATTTTGAGTTGGGTTTTTGTTACTGATTCCACTTGCTGTTAATTACCTTTCCAACCAAAAGGGCCGTTCAACTCGAATTGAATTCCTTTCTTTCTCCCTTTGTTTCAACATTGTCAGTGATCATTTACTGAGCATGTATAAGGTGGGAATGAAGTTTGGCCAGGGATATCGAGAGGAATAAGACTCCGCTGTCCTCTGACTCTCAGTGCAATAAGGGAAATGAATGTACAAATAGAAGATTTTATTTTTATTTTATTTATTTATTTATTTTTTAAAGATTTTATTTATTTATTTGACAAAGAGAGAGACAGCGAGAGAGGGAACACAAGCAGGAGGAGTGGGAGAGGGAGAAGCAGGCTTCCCCGCAGACCAGGGAGCCCGATGCGGGGCTCGATCTCAGGACCCTGGGATCATGACCTGAGCTGAAGGCAGATGCTTAACGACTGAGCCACCCAGGCGCCCCCAAATAGAAGATTTTAGAAAAGCCTGTAGTTACCACAGCAAACTATTCCCAAGGTGTTAGGAGTGAGGAAGAGCACCTAATTCAACTCTTACAGAGAGGGTTTATGAAACTTGTGAGAGAAGTTTTCCTGAAAGAGGTGACCATTCACATGACTTTTAAGGATGGAGTTTTCTAGGTAAACAGAGAACACTGATGGGCAGAAAACATTCAGGAGAGGGCCAAATGAACAGAGGCCTAGCAATGGGATAGAGCATGGTGAGTCTTAAGAGCAGCAAGCTGGAACTCACTCTGTGAGCAGAGACTGAGGAGACACTGAGGTAGAAGGAAGTGGCAGGCATCTGACACTAGAGGGCCATGTGCTGGTAGGACCCTGTTTGTCCGTCAGCATCCAGTATTGATGGTATCTCACTGGGAGGCCTCTGTAGGCATCTCAAAGTGTTTCCATGGCCCTGTTGCACAGACCACACTGTGACCTTTATTGGCTATCTACCCTAGGGTGGGTGGGGTATAACCTAAGATTCAGGATATGTGCCAAAAAAATGAAAAGGTCATAGATATTGAAGTAAAAGACATTTACTAGGCACATGCAAGATACAAGGGACTGTGGTCAGTTTTGCAAAAGATGTGTAGTGGATAAAACTGAAACTCCAAATGTGAAGTTCTTCTTCAATACTAACCTGCATACTTT